CATGCCCTAACTGCATCTGCAGCAATTTGTGAATATATATAGCAGGATCATATTCAATTTGTTGCCTTTGACCCTCATAAGGTCCTTTTCCTAACAACATATCTAGATTTCTTTGAGGGTAACCGGCTGCTGCATTTCGCCTAGCTGTCTCTGTGCAAAATTCCTCATTGGCAATCTTTCATAACAAATATTTTCCTCCATTTAGCACAGATTTACACATGCTAGCCCAATCTGCTGGTGTCATGTAGAAGTCGGTAATGGATTCGACCATGCTTACAGTGAAGGGTGCTTGGGGACCATAGGTTGTTACAGCCTCCTTTAACTGCTTCACTGTTTTGAAATCTAAAGCATGGTGAATTTTCTGCCCTCCTGCCTGCTCAAGTACAGGGCATGCTAATCTTTGAGGTCCTGTCTCAGGATCCCAACTATCAACTATGGGGGTTGAGGGCCACTCAGCTGTCTCCATAGGTGGAGCTGTTGGTTGAATTATGCCCTCTGGCAATAGAACAGAGTTAGTAGCAGCCTCCTGTTGTAGCTTTCCCCGTGGTAGCTGTTCCTCCTCTAATCTTTCTTCCTTTAAATTTTCTTCCTCTATCTGACTAGCTTGAGAGACCTTCTCTTTTGCTTGATCTAACATGTTTTCTACCATAGTCTGGACCTCTAACAATTTACTTAACACTCTTTCAGTTTGTTTTTTACTAATTTCTAATCTACTATAAAGATAACGCAACCCAACAAGATAACACAACAAAACCGAAACAGAATGAAACAAAAACGGAACAAAATATCGTTGTATCAATTTTCCTATTTTCTTGACATGTGCATTTGTGGTCTATTTCTATCTCTTCCTCAGGGGTGAACAACTTCAAACCTTGAGCCAACCATTTTTCCCAATTTGCCTGAGAAAGTTCTATGGATAGGCAGCTTGAAACAAAAACAAAACAAATCAAAACAAGAACACATTGTTTTTTGAAATGGTCACCCATTCTCTCGCCTTCCTTCAGGAGCGAGAAATTTCACTTACCTCCAAGCTTCAGGCATTCCCCATACGGGCCACCAAATGCCAAAGTCTGGCTGGGCACAAATCATGAACCACTGAAGCAGGAACAAACTTTATTTCTGTACTCTACCAGCACACTCCACATACGCTCCTGGGAAATCTGCTAATGCCACACAGCTCCTCCAGGAACCACCAACCGGAATCCCTCCTCCCGTACTCCCCCCCCACCCTGAAAACTCCAAAGTAGCAGGCTGAGGTGGACAGTAATAGCTCGCCTCTCAACCAATACTGTTGGCAAAATGCCAGGGGCCATTCCGACTTGGCTGTGGCTCTCAGCACATGATGAATTACTTGTAAATATACATTAAATACGATTTTTAAACAAAATACACAAAACCAAGAACAACATGGATAGATGCCACAGAAATAATGTTCAGCACAAAAGGCAGGTATATCAGAGTACTTACCATTAAGATTTCAGAAAGTAAGTTTCAAAAAATTAAATAAAAAAAATAGTGTAGGTTGTTAGAGATCAGAATATTGGTTGCCTTTAACTGGAAAGAGAAGCCATGAGGGAAACTTCTAAGTGCTGAAAATATTCTTTATAAGAGTAGTGGATCATGCTTGTTTTTTTTTTTCATAGTGGAAATCCTAAAACAGAAGAGAAAACAAAAATAGTCTATATTGGCTTTGGGAGTTTTAAAGAGAAAACTTTATTTGGGGACAAGATAACAAGGACCATGAGTGGGACACTAGGAAAGATAAAACAGGAAAGGAGGGAAAGCCAATTCATGATGTTATCAGGCTTCTCACTGGTACAAAATACTGGGATCTGATCTTACTGGGGGCTTCTGATTCTTTATACTGATTTTATCTCTGAATTATTTACCTGAGAAATAAGAAAAGTACATATTCATGACCTTCCATCCATTAATTGTCAAGAATTATCCACGGGGTGTTATACCTTGACACTTGCAGTTCTGAGCATTGAGAAATTCTAAGTAGCTCCTCTCAGGTGTCCCAATCACATTGCAGGAAAAGTCTAGGGCAAAGGCACAGAGGATATGACATGCAACTGAAGTGAGCCTCTGCCACAATTGCTTTAGTAGAATTGTACAGAGGTGTCTTTTGCTGTAATGTTATGTTGTCACACATGTACATAAAATTCAAAAATCCATCTTTTTGTTTATTCCTAAGAAAACCTCAATAATCTACAGTCTTATAGCCTTGGTTAACTGTTTAGCTCTTCACGCCACCTAGTGGTGAAATATAAACATTTTACAAGTGTCAGCAGGATTTTAAAAGAAAATTTGCTGTTTCTCTCTGTTCCAAATTGAGATGCTGGTGCCTGATGTAGAATGCTCACCTGCAGTGACAGCTGTTTGTTGGAAATATTTTTCTTTACCCACGACTTTAAGATGAACAGCCAAACCCAATTTGGTGCTTTTAAGTAAAATATATTGGTGTAGGGAGATTTGTAGATGAAACTTTACTGTACATGGAGGATTTTATCTGAATCTGGGAAATTTCCCCTATATTTTCCCCAAGTTATGGTCAGCTTTAAATAAGATCTGCACACTGCATTTATAATCTAATCAAGCATAATTTCATTTTGAAACTATTCTCAGTGATTATGTTTCCATACAAATAGTAAAAACTAGATGTGTGATGAATGAAGAAAGGACAAGAGAATGCAGGGATGAATTTTCAGGACGAAATTCATGGGAAAATTTCTTACAGGTGCTATGTCACCTGCACCTGGTCTGTCTAGATGTTCCCCTTTTCCTGAGTTCTCTCTTTTCAGGTGCCTAAGCAAAATAAAGCTAAGTCCCTTTCCCCAAATTCATTTCAAGTAAGTCTTTCCAGAAAGATAAGAAGAAGGAAAAAAACAATGAAAATACTAAACTGCAGAATCAAATTGGGTAGGCAAAATTTTCAAGCTGAGAACACAGTAATGATCTTTTATCCATCCAATACTTTATACTCAATATGCACCTGCTGAACAGTAAGTATATAGTATGTGCCTAAGAACTGTTTGTTACATCAGCTTATGGATTTTAAAGTAACTGAAGTCTGGTCATAGATGACGTACCTCTCACTGTCAGTTGGGTTCATTAGTCAATCCCCATTAGTCAGGATTTCTAATTTGTCGACCTGTGGAAACTTTTATAACCCCACATTAAGTACTGACAGTGCTTTTAAAGTCATTCATAGATATGTACAGAGTGGTACAAAATGGGAGTCAAATGAAGAACACATTCCCTATGATAGTCAAAAAAGTGAAGCTCTGTCTTCAGGTTTCCCTTCTCACTGCAGGACAAGCATCCTTTGTGTGGCCTAGGGAGTGCAATGTTTTTCAAACTTCTGTGCTCTTTGTCACTGATATTGTCAATTAAAATGACCCCAAACACATCTCTAACATGCTATCTAATGTTCATAAACTGAAGAAGGCTGTGATATGTATTACACAGGAAGAAGGTATTTTAGATCAACTTTGTTATAGTTATACTGCTGTTGTCTGAGAGTTCAGTGTTAATAAGCAATGCAATGCGCTGGAAAAAGAAAGATAAAATTTCATGATGGTAGGTGACATAATTTATAAAGTGACTACTATAATACTATGATAAAGCTATGACAAACAGACAAACAACCATATTTGTGTTTTTGTGAGATGACAAGTTTGTTTTGTTTTTTTTTTTTTTACATATGGTAGACAGCAATGTAGGAAGGTTGAAAGGCTAGGAAATTTGTGATCACATCAGTCAGGGTCGGGAAACTGTTAAATACTTCTCTGATAATGTTTCTGTTTAAAGAAATATGGCATACAATGAATTACTTGTAAATATATATTAAATATGATTTTTTAAAAAAATACACAAAACCAAGATTATGTATTCATCAGGTAACAAAAATATTGTGCCACAAACTCAAAGGTACCTAACCAGCTATTTACCCTAGGAACATGGCTCAGTGTTCACTATTCACATTACTTGTCTAGACCTACTTTAATCTTGAAGAGCAGCACTTTCACTACTCATTTTTTATTCCCTCTTCAGAGATGCCCTTGGGCCATATTTCAGGTATCACCACCATGCTGTCCCTCTCAATCTTTCACGTATCTGTGAGTCTTCTGATGATTTTGTTGAAATGAAAACTGGAATTCAGTAAGTCTGAGACCAGGCCACAGAGTCTACATTTCTACCACACTCCAATGTAATGAATCTGCTATTTGACCATAAACCACATTGAATATGGAGGACCTTCATCTTTCCCTGTTCTTTTTGTTTAGAGCACTTGAAACAATGGTTTTATGCTAATATTTCCCCAAATTGAATAACAGAATTGTTAAGTGGAAAAACTGTGTTTCTCCTCAGAGACTCAGAAGAAATAAATAAATAAAATCAGGAATGCATGAAGTCTCCTGGCAAAGCAAGACTTTGAACAAGAAGAGCATCAAATATCTCAACTATACCAAAGGTATAAAAATAGAATTTAAAAAACAAAACAAACAAACAACAACAAAAACTACAAACCTTACATAATTCAACACAGGTTTTATTGAAAATATGTTGCATTCAGGCCAGACACTTCACCAAAGATGCAGATATTCATAAAGCATGTGCTTTGCTCTCAAACTTTTAAAAGCTTAAAAGAAGAAACAAAACTACACACCTGCCACAGATGCTAGGAAGTGAGGGGCACAGCTGAAATGTGGATATGCTCAGATGGAAGAGACATGGCTCCCTACTGTGGATCAAGGAAGTACCCCTGGAGGATGTGACAGCTGAAATGCATCTGATGATCCATTACATTTAACCAGGCTGACACTGCTAACATCCTGTTCCATTCAGAGTTAAACCCACAGAAACCATGTCAGAACAACAAATCCTGAAAGATTACATTGAGCACATATTGGTAAATGATCATGGAGCAGAAATGAATTGCAAGGTTTTAACAAGGGGAGTTGAAGTGATGTCATCACCCTGTGGTGTTCAGGTGTAGACTGGGCACCTGGGTAGCTGGGTCCTCACTTCAGAGAGAGCAAACACTATAGGGAGCTTCACAGTGTGTCCTACATGAACAAAAAAAGAACAGACTTTTATAAGGTGGAGGTGAGAATTGAGCAGAAAGTGGGAATGGGGCTAAAGGGAGAAGGAAAAGTGAAGAAAAAGTCTAAAAAAAAAAAGGGAAGACCACTGGGGAGGAGGGATGAACAGGAAAGATGGATACAAAGAACTCACCAGCGTTTCCTAAATGAAAATCCAAGACCTGTGAGAAGAGCCAGGGCCACTATCACGGCAAAGAGGATCAAGCCCAGGGCACTCTGAGGTGCTGCAGATTCAAGTGGACACCAGGATGATGTTTCAATCTGCATCTATAGATCCCTCATTTTAAATTTATCCATTCTTTGAATTACATATTTTTCTTCTTTTTAGGTCTGGAATTTGTAAATCCCAATTTTTTACCTGGTTCTCATGCTCTGCTAGAAGTTCCCTTCATCCCATCTCCAGCCTGGGTCAAGCTCTTACCCCCCCAGTGGAGGACGAGGTCCTGCCCTCCTAGGCTGCTGTGCTTCACCCTGCAGGCCAGGCCAGCCACCTCCCCAGCTGCCACATCCAGGGTTGCTCTGAGATACCACGTCCCATCACCATTGGGCAGGATGTCACCTCTCTGAGTGCCCTGCTGCTCCTGTTCCCCTCGCATCCACATCACCCACACGGGCTTTGGGTAGAATCCAGACACATGGCACACCAGCAGCAGATGGCCAGGCCCAGGGCTTGGGCCACTGGACAGCCAGGCCTCAGGCTTCACTGCAAACACCAGAAAAGACATTTAGACACTAACATAGACTGAGAACTTTAGAATTCCACATAAGCCTACAAATACATATAATTCCTAGTTCTGTATTTTCACTCATCAGTCACTTTTTATCCTGAATTTCATTTTAAAATATGAAAATTCTTCGAGACTGGATAGAAGACTGACCTTGTCGCTGGAGATGAGCTTTCCCTCCATCTAGAAGATCCGAGATTAAACGTGGGCAGGCATAACTGAGGAGCCAATGTTTCCTATTTGTGTAGGCTTGGTTCAGATTGAGTAGATTGCAGGCTTTCTGGGCCTTTCTTCCCCCCATGGGATATGGTGACCATGTTTCATTCTGGAAGCTTATGAAGTCATGTCCTTGTATAGCTACCCGCACAAAGCCTAGGAAGCCCTTCCCAGAGTGCCGTTCACAGTCTGCTGCCACCTGTAGATCAAAAGGACCTGAGGAAGAAGAGTAATGAATTAGAGGAGAAACAGAAGAAAAAGGACAAAAATAAATGAGATAAAGCAATAGAAGCAGAAGGGAGTATGGGGAGTTTAAGGGAATGGACCCCAGTGTGGTTTGGTCAGAGTTTCACAGAAAAGGGAACTGGTAGGAGCTGCAATTGGAGGAAGAGATGATAATATGAGGAAGGGAGGGGATTGTTCAAAGGTGATAGCGATGGTGTGGGGAGAATGACTTAATGGTTTCTATGACAGTTTAGACAGTTTAGAAGATTGAAGAGATTAAATGGGAGAGAAAATCACACTTTAAGGAGTCAACCAAAGAGTGGGGTAGCAGAAGGTACCTAATTGAAAATTGAAGAAAAGGGTGGCCACAGCATTCCTCTAAGGGCAGATAATAAAACATAGCCCTGCAGGCAATAGAGAGAGCAGTTCATAAGTAGCAAAAACTGAAGCTTTTGAAAATCTGGTTGTGTTCATCGCACATGCCCAGGGTGTGATTGCAATTTTATGCTGAAGAGAGCAGAGTAAGATTCAGAGAAGAATAGGCTGTTTCCCTGAGGAATAAAAGTTCCCTGAGATGCCCCACTCTCAGCCCTTTATTCTCCCCAACAAGGGACGGGAACTCACCTTTAAACATCAATTGAGAAATATAAAAGTCCTGATGGTTCATGAAGTATAACTGGACCAACCTTTCCAGATCCATCAACTCCTTGTTACTGATGTTGCCCCTGGACCAGGGATACAGGAAAATGATGGTACCAGAGCTCCTGTTCCAGCTGTGAGTCTGCAGCTCCCCGAACCAGCCTGAGCCCTGATGTACCCAGGAATGGTTGTTATAGGTTGATGTCTGGAGGAGATGGAAGGAAACAGGATCCTCAAACCCTGTGGCAAAAGAATAGATAGAATAGGCTGAAATAAAACACTGGGAGGGATAGATTTGGGAAAGTAGGTGCCCCAGTAGGAAGACTCAGAATCTGGAAAAGTGGAGAGCCACTGTTACCTTAGCTGACATCTACTGTCCCCCAGGGTCCCATGCTCTACCAACATCCTCCATGAGAGCACAGAGGGCTTGAGTAAGGACATGCAGAATGGGGCCAGCTTGGCCCTCGTTCTCTCCAGGTGTGTGCAGGGGAAACTGCCATCACCACACACACACACACACACACACACACACACACACACACACTCACACACACCTTGTCAGTTGCCCCAGTTCTTACCACTGTCGCCTCCTAGGAAGAGAGCAGATAGGAAGGGGAGTAGCAGGAACAGCATGGCCCTTGCAGATGCTACTTCTTTCTCTCAGAGAAGTCGTCCTTTGATTTCTGTTCTAAATAAACCTACCCCACAGACCTCTCTTCTGACTTCCTTATTCAACCAAAACATAAAACTTTTCTGCCTGAAACAAAGACAATCTGCTCCCTCCCAAAACCCTGAGCACCTACTCAGTTTCCCATTTCCCCAGCTATTCTGACTCTGTGCCCAGTGTTCCAACTTCTCTCATTGTTACAAACATCCACCCTGTTCATCTTCCCCTAGTTCAACTGCTATGGAACAAGTCTTGTGTGTCTCTGAAAAGTCCCTTACCACAAGGGGCACTTCTTTTTTTGCTGGGTGTGGAACCCAGAATCTTAAGCATTTTCTCTTATTGTAATAATTTTGAATTATCCCCCATGTGTTCTCTTGCCTACCCCATGCCCCACTACACCTCATTCATATCTCTGACATCACTGGTTACTTTATTTCCCTTTTCAAAATTCCCTATGATTGTCCTCTGAAACAGTATCACCTACTGAGTCTGGGATCCTGTATCCAGGGCTGGCTCTGTTAGCAGGCAGCCACTTCAGTAATGCACTTAAATTTCCATTATTAGCACCTTGAGTTTCATAATAAATTTGTTTAGTAACTTTAAGAGAACTCTCTTGAAGAGCAATTTGAGCACAGACCTGCTATGATCTGAATCTTTGTGTCTTCCCCAAGTTCATACATTGGAAACCTAACCACCCCTATGATAATATTAGGAGGGCGGAGGCTTTGGGAAGTGATTAGGTCATGCAGTTTCAACCTCAGCAATCAGATTAGTGCCTAATACAAGGGACCCCAGGGAGGCTCCATAGCATTTCCACCATGAGAAGAAATACTCTGAAGGTGTCTTTCATGAACCTAAATGCAGGTCCCACTACAATCAAAATCTATCTTGATCTTGAACTGTCCAGACTCTATAAAAATAATTTCCTGGTGGTTATAAACTGCTCAGTCTATGGCATGCTGTGATTGCAGCAGGAATGACTAGGACAAGGCTCCACGTTTTTGTTTTTCCCTGGATCGCAGAAAATATATGACTGCTGCTCTTGAGTGTGGGGTAAAGAAAGCAAGGAGAGGACACTTGGTTTGGGGTAAGAAAGAGAGGGAAGAAAATTAGCTAAATAAGGAATGAGGTTCTGTGACCAAAATGTTGTGAGCAGATAAGAGAAACAAAGGATATAACAGATGCAGGAGAAGGAGGAAGAGGGGTGTTTTCATGAGCGTTTTTGCTTCTGCGACCAAAGAACCTGACAAGAACAATTTTAAGAAAAAAAAGTTTATTTCAGGTCTCAGTTTCTGAGCTCTTAGTCCATAGATGGTCAACTTCACTCCTCAGGGCCCAAGGTGAGGCAGGACATCATGGCAAAAGAGGATGGCAGAGGAAAGCAGCTCTGGACATGGGCACCAAGAAGCAGAGAGAGAGAGAGAGAGAGAGAGAGAGAGAGAGAGAGAGAGCTCCACTCATCAAGGCCAAAATATATACCCCAAAGTTATGCCTCCAGGAATCCACCTCCCCAGCCACACCTACCAGCCCACAGTTACACTCAGTTAGTCCCTGTCTGGGGATTTATGCACTTATTGGGTTAAGGCTCTCGTGACCCAGTCATTTCACCTCCAACCCTTCTTGCACTGCCTCACACATGAGCATTTGGGGGACACCTCATACCTAAACCATAACAAGGGAGGCATAAAGGGAGTGGAACAAGAATTCAAAGTTTCTTTCCTCTGACTGTCCCCTGGCAGAGTGGCTCCTGGTGAGGACGCAGGTAGCAGCTGGAGCTTGGGTCAGAGTCCCACTGAGGATCTGCAGCTCCCCAGTCCACGGCACCCCTGAGTGAGCTCTCAGCTGTGGAGGGGGAAAGACAAGGTCTGAGGAGGAGAGAGGAAAGGATGGAGACCATTGGGAGCTGCCTGGGGGATGCTGAGAGCTGGGGCAGCTGAGAGAGAGCAACCCTGTAGGAGAAAGTCAAGAGACAAAGTAGGTGGGAAGTGTCCAGGACCAGAATGAAAGAGAACACCTGTGACAGAGGAGATGTTATACAGATCACTGAGAGTGAGGTGCCCCCTGGTCACAGGAAAAAGATGAGGAAAATCCAGGTGATTAGGACACATGCCAAATGGAACTCAGCCAGGCAGGTCTTTCCCCTATCCCAGGGGCATCCAGATTCTTCCCTTTGTACAAGCCCTACTCAGACTCCTCTTCTTGAATCACCATTGCTTAGGGAACAAGCATGCTTATGTTCCTCCTAAAATGCCTCATTGTTGCTCCCCTCCATGCCACCACATCTCCTGATTTTCTCCTTCCCCCCACACACAGCTTTCCTCAGACCCAGACATGAACTCCCCTCCCACACAATCTCACTTTGCCACCTGACTGTTCCCACCTCATCAACACCCACCTCAGCTTCCCTCCTGAGAAACCCCCTGTCTGTCATACCCTTTTTAAGGTCATTGCTTAGCATCTGGGCAGCCATTTTAAGGGAAATCTGCCATTTTCCCACCCAAGGGCCTTTCCAGGAAAAGCTCACCACTCCCTCACACCAACCCCACCCTTAACTGTCCATTAGAACCCACTGGCTCTAATCCCTGAGCCTCCCCCATAAAAGTCTTGAACCCCAAGTCTGTGTTTCCTTTTTTAGTCTATGGAGAGAGGGCCTTTATTTGGCAGCTCTGACAAATGAACTCTCCTGTGTGTCTCTTCTTGGTCTCCGTCTTTCATTTCTCACTCGCTAGGCTCCAGTTTCTCACTTTCATTGTTGCCAAAACCTGGGATCAGGTTCCCCCTATGTGCCCACTCCTCTCTTTGAGGGTGACAGAGCATCGCCAGGCCCTGGTCCAAACTCCATTGTGAAACCAGGCCCTCCATTCTGCCCAATGCCCTCTCTGCACCAACCCCCAGATATTTCACGTAAGACCCCTGTCTCGGATAGAATTAAAAGACCTATGCATCCAGGAAGTGAACCATAGATATAATTATATAGATATATAGATTAACATAGATTTATAAATATATGTAGCTACACAATGGACCAACAATTATATAAAAGAAATTCTGGTGACAGAAATTATATAAATCAGTGAGGACTGAGGACTTGGAAGTCAAAAGTTCTTTATGGGGGCCATTTTGACCCATTGCCCAGTTCGTATTGGGGCCAGGCCACAGTTGAATAAAAAACCAAGCATTTATGGCATAGATCTTGAGTGAGTTTGGCAAAATTTTATATAAAGAGCCCAGAGGAGTTTTGATGTCTAAAGAGGAGTTGTGTTTCCCATGACTTTCTGGCCCCCTCAGAGGTGAATGGGAACAGAAAACAGTGTTCCAAAGTGTGTTCACTCTCACCTGAGGAAAGGATAAGTGCCAGGTGGGGGTTGAAAGATCCCTGCAACCCATGAGGGGCCCAAAAGGATTGGAGTGGCTCCCAGAAGGACTGGGATGTCTCCACAGTTCCCAGAGTCTTAAATGGAATGGGCGGGGTCTATGGTATGCACATGATTAATGGAGAGACCCTATGAAAGGAAAGGGGCTGGCAAGTCAGGGGAAATGGGAACTTACCCCATTCCTGTCTGCCCAGATGAAGGGAGAAGGGAAGAGGCAATTTAGGAATTTCCTAGTTCATTTGAATGGACGTCAATCCCTTATGAGAATAGCCCTCCTAGGTTTCAGCACCGGATGTAAGGCCAGGCAGAAGAGAATCTGAGGAGAATCCACGTGGGGACTTGACCAGACTGGAATTTTTATGGGCTTAGGGCAGGAAGGGAGGGCTTGGAACAGAAAAGGGGGTTTTAGAGTCCCTTATCCTACTGGGGTTGGTTGGGGAGAGTTGGCTGAGATCCAGGATTGGCCAGGAGACCCGGCTGATTGACAGGTAGTTCCATTGGTGGAGTGGCTTGGTGCTTTGTTCCTAAGTCACTTTCATTGACTTGACACTTAGCATTAGCTATAGTCTAAAACTAGAGGACAGAGATAGAAATATTCCATCATGAATGGAAGTTGTCAGACAAACCAAATAGTTTGCTTCCCCGCCGGTAAAATCACACAGAAAGTAAATTATATTTGAATTGCTGAGAGTTATGAAAACATACAAGAAACAAAAGAGAAATAATTAAAAAATAAAATAAAATATTAGGCACATTGTTAAAGCAAATTTAACCTCTAAAATAACATTATTGCTATGATTATATAAAAATTCAAAAGTTGGGTTAAACAAGAGAAAGTAAAAGAATTTTTAATATTTTCAAAACCGAAGACCTGAAAAGTTTCTTCTAAGGCAATGCAGAGATAAAAGCTATTGAAACTGAAAAAAAAAACCATTCAAAAATATAAAACCTAGCTTGCTGAGGTGGTTCCCATCATTAATTCCAGAGACTCAGGAGACTGAGGAAGCAGGTTTGAATGTTAGGCCAATGTATGCAACAGTGAGATACTGTGTCAAAAGAAATAAAACTAAAATGTGGCTCAGTGGTTGAATGACTCTGACTTAAATTCCAGTAAAAAATTATATATATATATATATATATATATATATATATATATATAATTTGCACCACTTCACAGTGTATTAGTGTACCTTTTTACCCATATCTTCACCAACACTTATTGTTCCTTGTAGTCTTGATAATTGCCATTCTGACTGGGATGAAATGAAATCTTAGAGTATTTTGGATTTGCATTTTTCTAATTGCTAGGGATGTTGAATTTTTTATATTACTGTTGATCAATTGTGTATATATATATAGATATAGATATAGATATAGATATAGATATAGATGTAGATATAGATATATAGATATATATAGATATAGATATAGATAGATAGATAGACAGATAGATATAGATATATTATAGATATAGATATATAGAGATATATTATTCCAATATGTTCCTACGGAAATTTAAAAAAAAAATTATAATTAGTTAGACATGAAAGCAGAATGCATTCTGACTCATCATACACAAATGGAGAACAAAATTTTATTTCTCTGGTTTTATATGATGGAGAGTCACCCTATTTGTGCAATCATACATCTACATAGGTTAATTATGTGTGTCTCAACCCTCATACTACCTCTCCTGCTCTCACATCCTTCTGGCCCATCCAAAGTTTCTCCATTCTTCCTTTGCCACCCTGCCTTTATAAATCAGCATCCATATGTTAGAGAAAATATATAGCCTTTGTTTTCTGGGGAGAGTGGCTTATTTGGCATAGCATGATATTCTCCAACTTCATCCATTTACCTGCAAATGCCATAATTTGGTATTAAGGATAATATTCATATATATATATCTCACAGATTATTTATTCATTATCTATTGAAGAACATCTAGATTGGTTCCACAGTTTATCTATTGTGAATTGAGCTGCTATAGACATTGAGTTGGCTGTGATACTTTAGTATGTTGATATTATGTCCTCTGGGTATAGAATGAGGACTGGGATAATTGGGTCAAATGGTGGTTCCATTCCAAGTTTTTTGAAAAATCTCCATACTGCTTCCCAGACCATTTCACAGTCCCACCAGAAGTGTATTGGTGTACCTTTTCCCCCACATTCTCACCAACACTTATTGTTACTTGTAGTCTTAATAATAATTGCCATTCTGACTGAAGCGAGATTAAATCTTCGAAGAGTTTTGATTTGCATTTCTCTAATTGCTAAGGATGTTGAACTTTTTAATGTATATAATTGTTGATCAATTGTATATCTTGTTCTGTAAAGTGTATTTTCAGTTCCTTAGCCCATTTTTCTTGTTTTTGTTGTTTCATTTTGGTTTGGTTTCTATTTGTGGTTAAGTTTTTCTAGTTCTTTATATATCCTAGAGAATAATCCTTTATCTGATGTGTGTGTGGTAAAGAAATTTTCACATTCTGTAGACTCCAAAGTTTCTCCATTCTTCCCTTGCCACCCTGCCTTCACGTTATTGTTACCTTGTCTGAGAAGAAGCCTTTTGTTTTGAATCCATACCATTAATTGATTTTGATTTTATTGCTTGAACTTTAAGTGTCTTATTAAGAAAGCCAAGTCTTTATCAGCCATGATGAACATTTGGGCCTAATTTTTCTTCAAATAGGCCCAGGGTCTCTGGTCTAATTTTAAAGTTTTTTGAATTGAGTTTTTTGTAATGTGAAATATAGGAATTTAATTTCATTTCCTGCATATGGGTTTCTAGTTTTTCCAGCACCATTTGTTGAAGAGACTATCTTTTCTCCAATTTATGTTTTTCTTGATTTTGTCTACTATGAGATAACTGTATTTATGGGATTTTGTATTTGTGTCTTCTATTCTGTACCATTGGTCTACATGTACATTTTGGTGCCAATACCATGCCATTTTTCTTACTACAGCTCTGTAGTATAGTTCAAGGTCTGGTATTGTGTTGCCTCCTGCTTCATTCTTCTTACTAAGTATGGCTTTCGTTATCCTGGGTCCCTTATTTTTAGAAATTACTTTCACAATTGCTTTTTCTATCTCTATGAGAAGTGTTTTTGGGATTTTAATTGCAATTGCATAATAACTGTACAACACTTTTTGTAGTATGGCCATTTTGACAATATTAATTCTGCCTATTCAAGACCATGAGATATCTTTCCATCTTCTAAAGTCTTCTGAAATTTCTTTCTTTATTATTCTGTTGATTTCATTGTAGAAGTCCTTTACTTCATTTGTTATATAGATTTCAATGGAAATCTTATATGGAGGAAAAACACATAATGAGGAGAGGATATATTTAAAGCAATTGTGGCTGAGAATTTTCTGGAATTATTAAAACATATGAATCTCATGATAGAAAAAAGGCAAAAGCTCCAAAGTAGAGTTAATGAGTCTGACAAATAGTTTTTATTTTCCAAAGTGAAGAAAGTCAAGAGATCTAGGAATCTCAGGACATAAAAATAAGTAAAACAAACTTTTTTTGTATATTTGTTATTTCTTTAATAAGCATTCAATCCACTCAATACCAAGGGTTAAATTCAACACTAGTACTAAAAGGAATAGAATAATAAAGGCTGAAATTCTAGAGAAAAGTACATATAAACCAACCATAAATATAGAGTGTCAGAAAAGGTAGAGAAAAAAGAATGAGCTTTATTAAATATACTTTATTGTCTTTAGCACTGAATACATGGCCTTGTTCACTGTGAGCACCAGAAGTTTGCTGAAGTCATCAGGTATGAGAAAGGCAGTGAGAACACATACCCAGGAGATGATCTCAACTGGTTTTTAATTTAGAATTTTTTAGATGTCATAAAGGATTAAAGTTGAACCTACCTTCTAAATACCACATATGATTGCTTCAGAGTTCAGATATGAACTTTCCTAACTCCTCAGTAGAAAGCTGAAAATAATAAGGGTAGTGTCCTGTGTTAGCCAGTTTCCCATCACTCTAATGAAATATCTGAGATAATTAACTTTCCAAGGATAAAAAAAGAAAAAGTTTTATTTGGCTCAAAGTCTTAGAGGTTCCAGTCCGCAATCAGGTGTCCCCATTATTTTGGTCTTTTGGCATGGCTGCACATCATACTGGGAGAACATGGCAGAGAAAAATTTCTTTCATTTCAACCCAGGGAGCAAAGAGGAGGAAGACAGAAGAGAGAAAGAGCCAGAGGTCCTACAATCCCTTTCAAGGGCAAACTTTCAATGATCCAAGAACTTTATCTCCTAAAGGTCCCATCACTTCCCATTAAATGCACCCTGAGAACCAAATATTTAACACATGAGCCTTTGAGGATATACACCATCAAAACTATGGTGTGACCCCCAGGACCTGATCACCTTCCACTGGGACTCACCTCTTTAAAATTTCCAACCTCTCAATATTGGATTCCAAGATTCCAGCACATAAACTTTTGCAGGACAAACCACACAAAAT